CAGACCTAAAAAAAAAAAATCCAAAAAAAAAAAAAAAAAAAACCACACATACCACAAAACTATAAACTCTAGGGACAAGCAGTTGGTATAATGGCTATGTCACTGGACTCTCACATAGTTGACCACGGTTATAGTCCTGGACCCGGTGGCTTAAACTCATGCTGGGCATGTGTGCATGTGTGCCCAAGATCCCCAGAGGAGAAGGGACTGTGGTGTGGTCATCTCCCCTGGCGGGCGGGGGGGGGTGATTTCTCACTTTCTGTTTCTCTGTCTCTCTCTGTCTTTCTGGCAAGTGCACACGCCCTATAACAAAAACCTCTCTGTAAAAAAAGAATAACAATATAAAAACATTTTTAAAGAATTATTCAATTTTATCACTATTTTTTTTTCTTTTGTTACAGGGCATGTGCACTCATCAGAGAGAAAGAGAGAGATAAAGCAAGCTGCCAGGTCTGGGACTCAAACTGCAGTTGGTCATGTGGGAGTTTAGTGTCTTAACCACCATATCATCTGCTGACCCTAGAAAAATATTTTTACAAAGATGTGTATTTCTATCTTAAGTGTTACTACAACAGTCAAAAAGTTTAAAATAGGGGCAAGCAGATAGCATGTGGTTATGTTGCTGAACTCCCATGTGGTCGACCACTGTTTGAGTCCCAGACCCAGTGGCTTAAAAATCATGTCAGGTGCGTGTATGCGTGTGCCCAAGATCCCAGGAGGAGAACGGAGGCAAAGGGACTGGAGCATAGCCATCACCCCTGGAGGGTAATTTTTCACTTTCCCTCTCACTGTCCATCTTTCTCTCCAGCAACTGAACATTCCTTATGGCAAAAACTTCTTTAAAAAAAGTTTAAAATAATTTAAGAAGTTTATATAAAGTTAGTAAATTATAGTAAGGTTAATTTACTGTTGAAAGAAAAAATCTTTTTTAAGAGTTACAAAAGGAAATTTATTTCAAAAACATAAGGGAATATTTACATTTAAACAAAATGATTAATAGGTGTCTTACAAAAGAAAAAAAAAACCTATGGAATGAAGTTCGCATTCAAATTGAATTAAAGCAAAATAACCTAAGTTGTGCACTACTGCCTCAAAAAAAGGGAAGGGGAACAGCAAAGTGATGAAGGAGGAAGAAAGAAATTTTTTTAAAAACAAATTTAGCATAGCCAAAGTGTACAGTGCTTAAAAAGTATGCAGTAGCATACAGTAATATTCTATGTGTTCACACTCACCACTACTCACTGACTTACCCAGGGCAACTTGCAATCTTGGAAGTTCTGTTCATGGTAGGTGCCTCAGACAGGTATACAATTTTTAACTTTTTATAGCATATTTTTACTGTACCTTTCCAATGAGTAGATATGCTTAGATATATAAATACCTACCATTGTGTTACAGTTGTCTACAGTATTCAGCACAGTAATAATGCTACATAGGTTTGTAACCCAGGAGCAACAGGCTATACTGTATAACCTGGGCATGCAGAAGGCCATACCATCTAGGTTTACTTGGGTATACTCTATCATGCTCACACAACAACAAAATCATTGCACTTCTCAGAATATAATCCTAGCAGTGCACAACTGTACTAATAAATTGTTGAGTTATCTAGGGGTACATGCTGAACTTGGATTCAATAATACATTTTTAAATTAAAGGTTTCTCTTTAAAACTTCATTATAAATAATCCTATAATCCCATTTTAAAAATCAAAATAGCCACACACCCTGAATGCTCTATTCTTCTCTTCTTTTTGTTGTTTCTCCACTTCAACATGGCGGGCTAGACGAGCCAGAGTTAAAGCAACTTTATCTTTCTGTTGGTCAATGTAGTCTTTACGTTTAACATTCTCCTATAATGGAAAAAAACAATTTTCATTCTTTTAAATTAACAAAATTGCATTTGGATAACACATATATTAATATTTACCAAACTGCTATTGCACTAGAGAATCCTTTACTTCTGTTGCCATCAGTTTCCTAAGAACCCATCTCGTTTATATGTAACATGGTATTTTGTAGGTCCACAAATCATCCACCAGCATCTTTTACATTATTTATTTCTTCTGAGAGAGACAGATAAACAGCAACTCAAGGTCTTGATGCTGTGATCCACCCCCAGCCTTGAGCCAGCTCTAGATCATAGGCACACATGTGCAGGGTATACTCAGGAGGGCTCTGGAATTGAACTGGAACCTTCAGTATATCACATTTTTCTGTTGTTGTCACTGTCTGGCTCCAGCATATTTGGTTTTCAAAATGTTAGACAACTTGGTTGCTAATAAATTTGATTTATAATCTTTTGGACATTGAAAAGCTTGGGGTTGTTTTGCTTTGAGTCAATAAGGTAATATCATCATGCTAAGTTCAGCCTTCAAAAGATTTAACAGTAAGTAAAAATATCTCTTCCTAGAGCTAGCCAGTGGCATGGTGGTTAAGGCAGCTGGATCCCACATGGCCAATTATGAGATATGAGTCCCAGACTACCAGCTTCAAAAACATAGTGGGTTGGTGGGTGTGTGTGTGTGGGTGTGTGTGTGAACCCGTAATTCCAAGATAAAAACAGAGAAGGGACTGTAATATGGCCATTTCCCTGGGGGGACGCTTTCTTATTTTCCTTCTCTGTCTCTCTACACAAGCCCTCTAGCAAACAAAAACAAACAAAAAAATACATTTCTTCTGGCTCTGGTTTTTCAGCAATGCTAGGAGAGTAGTCAAGAGAAATTATAGAGTTAAAAGAAACTGATCCTGTTGCTGGCAGGTGATGTGGTGGTAACAGTGCTCAACTACCATATGGCCAACTATGATCGAGTCCTGGACCTGACAGCTTGCTTTGTCATTTTCCTTTTCTCTGGTCAAATTTGAAAAAATAATAACAGAAGCCAGCAGGTGACAGAGTGGTAAAGGCAGTGGATCCCACATGGCCAACCTTGGTTTGAGTCCCAGACCTAGCAGCTTGCTTTCTCATTTTCTCTCTTTGGTCAGTGCATGTGCCCAGTAGCAAATTAATGAAGATGATGATGATAAATAAAATTAAATAATTACTTAAAAATAAAAACAAATAAAATTAAAACAAAACAAAAAAATAGATCTGACTTCATTCCCAGCACAGCATGTAAGCATCTTTGAATTTGCCACTCCATCCTAACGAGAGCTGAATAAACTGAAGAATTAATTAATTCGTTTTAGATCCATCAGAGAAGGTCATGGGGTAAAGTGCTGTCACCAGAATTAGAGGGATAGAGAAGGCAAATAAAGAGCACCAACTTACTGGAACAGAAACACATGACAGAAACCTCCACAGGAACAAGTAGTGGGGTAAGAAAATCTATAATTGACCAAGTATTGGAGGCTGAGTGTGGACAAATATGAAAGTTAAAAACTATAGGAGACAGGGCCAGCAGATGGCATAGAAGTTACATTGCTGGACTCCCACTTTGCCAACCACAGTTCAAGTCCCAGACCTACTGGCTTCAAAATCACACCAGGTATGTGTGTGTGAGTGCCCAAGATCCGAGAAGGAAAATGAAGGAGAAGGGATTCTGCCGTGGCTCCCCCCCCCCCCCAAGGGGGGATTTCTCACTTTCCCACTCATTGTCTCTCTCTCCAGCAAGCACAAGTGTCCTAAGGCAAAAACCTCTACAACAACAAAAAACTACAAGAGACACAAACATAGAAGAGCAGTCACACTTTCAAGAGTTACCTCCAAGAGTTTTCACCAGGTTTTCAGAGTAAAGATCAAAGAAATTTCTTATGCTTTTGGCAAGAGAGGGAGGAATAAACTGAAGAATAACCATACTGAAACATACCCCAGGGGTCAGCAGGTGGTGTGGTGGTTAAAGTGCTGAACTTCTACATGGCCAACCGTGGTTAGAGGTTGGAGTCTGGGCCATGTGTATGCATGCCCAAAATCCTGAAAGGAGAATGGAGAAGGTATTGTTACATGGCCATCCCCTCCCTGCAGGGGAGAGGGTGGCTCTCACTTTCCTTCTCACTTCCCCCCACTCCTTTCTCTCTCTCTCTCTCTCTCTTTCCAGCAAATGCACACAGCCTATGGCAAAACTAAATCAAAACAAAAGGTATTTTCTCTTAAACCAGGAAGAAAATAAGTATGAGACAGACTATGATAGTAGTATATTATATTTTGCCATCGCAAACCTGAGACTTACAGGTCAAAATTGCTGGTTGGGGCCAACAGGTGGCATGGTGGTTAAGGGAGCTGGACTCCTACAAGGCTGACCGCAGTTTAAGTCCTAGACCTGGCGGCTTGCCTTCTCACTTTCTCTCTCTCTTGCTCTCTGTCCCTCTCTGGTCAAATACACACACACACACACACACACATACATATACAAATAAAGTTAAATAAAAATTTTTGAGAGGTTTCTGCTACTGGGTGCGTGCGCTCACCAGAGAGACAGACAGAAAGTGAGAAATCACCCCCAGGGGTGATGGCCATGCCGCAATCCCTTCTCCTCCATTCTCCTCTCAGGACCTTGGGCATGCACACACACACACACGCCTGGCATGAGTTCAAGCCACCAGGTCTGGGACTCAAACTGCGGGTGGCTACATGGGAGTTCAGCGACATAGCCATTATGCTAACTGCTGGTCCCAAAGTTAAATAATTCTTATGTAGATAAATAAATAAAGTTAAATAATACTTTTTAAAAAAAGATTGCCAATTAAAGCCAGTTATGAATAGCAGATCACCTGTGAACATTATCCAGAAAACTAAGTCCTTTACATTTCCAGTGCTAGAGAATGGTAGAGCCTGTGTCTGAATTGTACACTTTGGTTCTGAGAGAACCACAGCACTGGAAAAGCAGAGGCATTATTGATAGTAAACTACACTTTAGAGATTTTAGGGTTGCAGAAACCCTCATATTGCACAGAAGTATAGCAATTACACATTTAATGGGGAAAAGGTAATCCAAAGAATCAGAATATTCAGAATCATAAAATTATTAGTAATCAGAAGGCAAGGGAAAAGAAAACTTACCATCATCTTATTATCAAATCAACTGCAGAACCAAAGCTATGGTATTGTCAGGAAAATGTACAGAAGATAAACTAATTTCAAGACCGGTCAAAGTATCTTAAATATGTTGTTTCCTATAAAACTAGAATGAGAAGGGGCACTCAATTCTTAGGATTGGGCATTTCCACAATCCCATTGTGCCAAAATGCTGAACTGGAATGTAATATGATATTAAAATGAAATTCCAAGATTGTTCTTTTTAGGGTAGATTTACCATTATTCCCCAAAGGGGCTTGATTTTAGGTCCCTGGAGGCTTCCAAAGAAGTCCAGCTCTCAGATATGTAAATTCTCAAGCTAGAGTTGAATTGGTTCTGAATCCATGGTAAGATTAATGGGCATCGAGTTTCACTCTTGATAGTAGCAGCTATAGGATCATCAGGGCCATCCTTATTTAGGTGCTTCCAAAGGTCACCATAGACTAACTTCATTACAAGATACACAGTAATAGTAAAGAGTACAGATTCATAGCAATTAATGCTATATATTCAGTTATATTTTGGGGAGCACAGGAAAACCTAAAGAAAAATATTGGATGGGACCTGCAGCAGTTAGTGTAATGGCTATGTCGCTGGACTCCCATGTAGTCGACCACAGTTCACGTCCCGGACCCGGTGCCTTAAAACTCACGCCAGGCGCGTGTGCGTGCGTGCCCAAGATCCCAAGAGGAGAATGGAGGAAAAGGGGTTGTGGCGTGGCAGGGCGTAGCCATCCCCCCGGGGGGGTGATTTCTCACTTTCTGTGTCTCCTCCCCCCTGTTGGGCAACCCCACCCACCCTAAAGCAAAAACCCCTCCAAAAAAAAAAAAAAAAAGAAAGAAAAGAAAAATACTGGTGAAATAAAGGTCTTGATTTACCTGCATTTAGATCACTATACATTAATTTTCTTCCATACCCAGAATTACACAGAATTGAGGACAAGATAGAAAAGTCAGAAGAGATTAAGAGATTCTGGTTTAGTCACTACGAAATTTTTATATTCTCAAATATATCTGCCTTTTTATTTAAAACTTTGAGGTAAAATATATACACAGCAAATTTTGGGTTGTGCCCTAAAAATGACATTAAGATTCAGAATACTGTTTCACCTAAGTGCACATGTTCATGAAATTAAATATATACAGGTGAATGTATGCAGAAGAATTCTTTTGTTCTAAATAACATTTTATCTTTTAATGTAGCATGTTATAGTAAAAATTTCAAGCCCAGTTTCAGTGCTGCAGGTGGTAGTATACTGATCTGCAGTGCTGGAAGCCACATGGCTGACCACCAGTGTGGGTCCAGAGTTCATCTGAAATGCTCAGGTGTGCACACCCAAGATCCTGATTAGTTGGAGAACGGGGATCATAGACTGATGAGACCACCAGGGATGTTTCTCTTCCTGTTAAACATGTGTGCACAATCTCTCATGAAAGAAATAAAAATAAACTTTAAAAGGAGTGGAGGTACCAGCAGTTAGTGTAATGGCTATGTTGCTGGACTCCCATGTAGTTGACTGCAGTTTGAGTCCCGGACCCGGTGGTTTAAACTCACGCCAGGCACGTGTACGTGCATGCCCAAGATCCCGAGAGGAGGAAGGAGGAGAAGGGATTGTGGCGTGGCCATTCCCCCTGGGGGGTGATTTCTCACTTCCTGTCTCTATGTCTCTCTCTTTCTGGCAAGCGCACAAGTCCTATAGCTAAAACCTCTCCAAAAATAATAATAATAATAATAATAAAACTAGAAAAAAAAAAAAAAGGAGTGGGGAAAGTGCCTGTGGCATAGTGGTTAAGTTGGCTGGATCCCACATGGCCAACTACCTGGTTTGAGTCCCAGCCC